GGGGGGTGTTAAGATCTTAAGAGTTTTTACCCCTTTTTTTTTTTTAGTCTGTATGAGTTTGAGATAACTTTTAACATGTTTCTATTTCTTTTCTTGGTAGTGTTTTAATTCAGAAAATAGGTGTGGTCTCCTTGTGAAGAGCAATTTGGTTTAGCAGGGAATTCTGCTTTCACAGTTCTCAGCATCTCTAATATAATCTAGACAGGAGTATGTTTTGGGACCTTTAACTCGGTTCTCTTACATTATTATATATGTGTGCAATTTCTAAAATGTGAGTTCTCGAGCAAGGATTAACTTTTGCGTACTCTGCTACTGCTACCGGTATTGTGTTGCTGTGGATCGGTGATTCAGTTCTTCCACTCACAGTTGTCTGCGCTCCGGGGACATAGAATCTCGGTCTATACTTAGCTTGCCTGTCTTTCCACCTGTGGAGGGTCAGCTTACAATGTTCACTGGTTTCAAGTATTCAATAAATGAGGTGTTGCATCTCTTTCACTTTCCTATGCCATTTCGTTCGAATCTGAAAATTGCATGCTTTGATTATCTTTAAAAAAAATTAATTTTTGGGTAGCTTTTCTCACTCAGAAATATATGTTATGTTGAAGGTATTTGTTGCAACAAACCAAGATTGGTTTTCTTTGTTGTGTGTCTGCTAACCTGACGGACAACATTGTTTGTATTTTTTGTCCTAGAGTTGCTTATGACTTATGGGCATTTGAAGGGTGCCCTGGCCTGTTGGACTTCTTTCCTCTACAGTGCGTCTGTTGTTTCTGTCTGTCGTCAGTCTTGCTATATCCTAGGGCTAAATACTAAATGACCGTAACTGCGTTGATGTGCTTCTCTTTGCTCAAACAAATAAATTGGAGTGGCTTTGTGGTCTAAGTAAAAATTGAAAGTGCTCTAGTCAAGTCCAAAAAGAATGAATGCACATGTTTTTCTTGACTCATGCCATTGGTAGCTCCTGCTTTTTGCCTCCGACTTTCTTGTTTTTGTCTCTGTCCAGCTCTTTCTCTTAAACTGCAATGCAATCAAATGTGCTCGAATGGCCACCTGTCCAAGACAGTCGCCTGTATAAATGACCACTTCCAACTTCTCCCTTCTATTTTTCTATAATTTACAATGACATTGTTCAAGACATCCACCTGTCTAAGACAACCTCTTTTCTCTTTGACAATGGGGGCCATCTTGGAAATTTAGACACTGTACGTATAGCGCTTGTCACATCGCTGTTCCTCTCTTTACTCAAAACCGTACTAAACCAAAGCCTTTTCTGTGCTTTGGTCTTACTCTCACACTGAGCTGGTTCACTTTAGTTGAGTGATGTCCTTAACTTTTCTCAAACTTATCGTAGATCTTTCTTGAAATGTGGAGGGGGTGGGTAGTATGCAGTGTGTATTGTTGTATAAAATGGGGAGGTATATGATGTTGGCGGTTTTCAGTACATGTACCGTACTGTTTTAAAACTATTCGGGTTGTGTGCATTTGTATTTGTACCAGAAGAGAGGGGGAAGGTGTGTGTGGTATGGACGATGGTGATAGGATTATTTGATTCTCTACCAATCCAGGCGAACGAGAAGCACGAGCACAAATGTGGACCAGATGTGGTGTCAGGGCCGTACTGGGGGGTTTTACTTCTTGTCTTATCCCCTGCTGTTTCTCAGTTTCTGTCTATATTGTTTTGTTTTTCCCAACACTAAATGACTTAACGGGTTGTTGGCGGGTGTTCTGATGTGGATGGCTCTTTTTTTTCCTTAGATCTATTGAACATCTATCGTCTTAATTCTCTCCTCCCTCTTTTTCTTTGTCATGTCACTCTCTGGTAATAATAATACATGGAACTTACTTGACCAACTTGTGTTGAAAGTGTTGTAACACTCTTCCTAAAATGAAGACAAACAAAAATAAGATGTGGACCACATGAGTGTGAGAAAGACCGAAGTGAGACTGCTTCTTGAAAAAGTTTGTCAAGAAAAGGTGCCCATCGCAGTGGAGTGACAAAATGTGTCTTGGGTGGGATTGTGGTATGGGGCGGTGTGTCGATGGAATGCATCATGTAGTGTAGGCTGTACTGTAGGCCAGCACTACGGTCGTGATGAACAAGTGCCCTTGACTGTTCGTCACTCGTGCTTGGTTAGATGAGTTTGTTCACATGACCGGTTCAAACTCTTTTGTCTTTGCACTACTCGACCATTCTTTTCAACTTAAGATGACATACACAACATACGCATTACTCTTGCAGGTGCAAGCAAATTTTAATGTACACATGATGTACTAACAACAACTACAAAGAGTATCAGTCGGGACACAGACAACACAAACACGAAACCCGGATCTATTGTTCGTACAATTTGCCAATATAATTTCTCTTCAAAGTTTAATATATTCAAAGTTATAAGAAGGTACATGTATCGGTCTGCCCATTTACAGACATTGAACATTATTGTTTGTCAATCCCCAAAGTGTTAAATTTTTCCATGCCCGACTTAAAGTTAAAGTCATAAGGTAAACATGCCCATATGATTTGCACCCCCAGGAAGAGTGATCAGTGATAGAGTTGTGTATTCTAATTCTAGGTAGACAGAGTGAAAAATGGCGTTGTCTTTTTTAAATAATTTTTTGGCAAGTCCATTACATGTTGTATGGTGACCAGTGACAGGGCACACTTACATTTACATTTGGCAACCACAGAAAGATTGTGAAGCATTATATTAGTGGGTGGTTGGCGGGTGCTCTGGTGTGGTTTGCTCCTTCTTTCCTATCAAACATCTATCGTCCTTATCTCCCCCTTCTTCTTTTTTATGTTTGTTACTCTCTTGTAACACCTCTAATCTTCTGGCGCTCATATGACCTTATGCAGTTACGAGCGCCGTAAAACCTCTACTAAAACAAACAAACAAACAGCATTATATTATATTACATGTTATAAGTGGGTGGTTGGCAGTGGCGCTGTTGTGGTTTGCTCCTCCTTCCTTTATCAAACAAGTACATTGTATTGTCTTTATCTCCTTCTTTTTTATGTTTGTTGCTCTCTTGTACTTGTTTGTAACGTAACGTCACCTCTAATCTTTGGCAGGTATGTTGGCCTTATTGTGTTAGAAGGGCTATAAAATCCTTACCGGGGTACCGGTACTAAAATGTTTTTTTTGTTTTTTTAAAATATCCCTGCTAGGGTTGGGGTGTGTATAGTGTGTGAATAGTGTAATGAACTTGTAGGATACTGTGATACGGTAATGTTGAAGCAGACTTTTATTTTGAGAATTTGACCCCATCTATTGTCCCAGTCGTGTCGCAAAGAACATCCAGGCTTCACATAATAGTGGACCCTGGCTATGTATTTTATATCAGAACCGCCGGGACTCATGTGATGTTCCCTGTTTAAGTTCACTTCATACAGAGGGATTATATCTCCAAAAAAAAAAAAGAAGAGAATTGGCCCTGTCCGTACGCCCTGGGATCGTTTTGTACCCCCAGTGTTGTATTCTTCACATTTTACAATACTTCTAGTGCGAAGATCTCTTTGAAACTTTCTTCAGTATCTCAAAAAATCATTTTGACAGACTGTTATGCAAAGCGTATGGATCGGGTTAATGTTAACGAGTAAATTTCCTCCTTGATGGATACGATAGTAAACACGGCATAGGGTTAAACTGACACTACTGTAATACACAGCGTGTCCTCCAAGGGCATTTCAGAAGATAAAAATTCTACATGTTTTAGACTGACCTATAGATTGCTTCCAACCGAGACGGAAGCTAAGGTAGGCCTACTAATTTTCTCATCGTGGGCCACATTCTCATACATTCTGCCATCAGTACTATAATACATTGATTTTAAAAGTATAGTATGCAGTTGCTACAACTTTACAGGAGAGCCAAATGAATGTTGTTACCAGTGAAGAAAGCAATTTTTTTTTTTACAAACATCCGGAATAAAAATATTTTCAAGAATAACATTTTTGAAAAAACTTCCTTATCAAGTTGTTTTCTTTCAACTTACAACATAATTTTTTGCCTCTCCCGTAAAATTAGAAAAAAACTGCCTACTGGTACTGCACTTTTTAAAAAAGAACCATTTTACTAGTGTTCGTGTGTACGATAATGATATGGTCAACTTGCGGGTTGTACTGAAGTTGCTCGCAGCCCGAAGTTTGCCCATGCTTTCTCAAGTGCACAGAGCGCTCTTATGAGCGCTTCATACTTCATGGCACTAGTAACTAGAGATATTGTTACGTGTGTTGTTACCACATTTGGGAAAAGGAACACACACTCCTGTATCATTATCAACTGCCCAGTGCCTATTCTTCATTCAATCAAATTCCACATGTTTCACTCACCACCCCTCAAGGAGACCAAAAGGCCTCGCTCTAACTTTAACTCTAACTTACTCTTCATTCACCGAGTGGATTTGTATCAACATCGAATTGCATTCAACTTTTCCCCTCCTTCCCTGTACACAACAACAAGGCACGCCATATGACAGTAATGACACATTACAATTACAAACATGTAAAAAATGTGCACACGATCAATTCGAAGGTGAACTGTGGGTTTCAAAGTTGTAGGTGCAAACTGCGGTGTGCATGGGGTGTTGTTTTTCTTCATAAAATGCGTTTTTTCCGCAGTTTTGTCTGTATGTTTTAGGATTTTGTCGATGGTTGGACTGCTGTCGTCATAGCCGAGCATATCTGTCCGAATGCGTTCATAAAAAAAGAACTTTCTTACAACTTACAGACTACAGAGATCGGACTCGAGGGATTTACCGGCCCGATATTTTATTAATTATGACTTGTTACGTAAGCTATGATTAAGTTCATGTGAAGCAGCGTGTCCACCAAACCAGATACTGACTGACCATAAGTGTCAGTTTCTCTCGAAATTGGTCTTGTTGAATTTCGTTTGGATGTACATGTATCCATCAAAATGACTCCACTCCCCCCAATCAATGGCAGCGCGTCCACTGTACAAGATTCGCCCTGATTCCTTGTCGGGAGGAGGCAAATCAGTAGGCCTATACTAAATATTACTACAGTGGAATCCTGTTATAACGAGATGGAGGGGACCGGTGCGAAATGTCCGTTATAGCAGGATTCTCGTTATTAGGGATCCAGTAATAAATTCAAGGGAAATTGTAAAGTAGGCCTAATCTATGAGTTTGGTGTTCTGTTTATTCCTGTTTGTATTTCCCCTTATATGATGATTTTGTTCAACATGATCTCTAGGTCTTACTTGATCAAAAATCGAATCTGGTTTCTTTCTCTAGCACTAGCAATGTTGACAAATCGGCTTTAGCGATCAGAAAGAAGGGGCTCTGGCTCTAGGCTAACTTGCCCGCTGTGTTGTTCCCCACCCCACCACACCCTGTGGTGCGTTGCGTCTGCTTGCGCACGTCACACATTCACTCCATCTATCACAGCATTTTGACCTCTCCATCCCACACCAGAGAAGTGAGAGGCACGGTATGCCTAGATAATCTAGACTGGGCTGGCCTATCACGCGATGCGTTCTGCGCTTGCCACACCCTCCCCACTCATTCGCTCCGGCCTTCATTGTTGGTTCGCGTGGGTTCTCCCGTTCTTTGTTTCACTGGATCACCAACAACTTTCTCAACTGGCGAGGTTTTATATGTTTAATTGGTCTGTGTGCTGTGCACAGCAGCAACATTATTCCGCTATAACCGACTCGAGTCTGATAGCGCAATAGCAGTATTTTATTTACAAAGATAAAGAAGGGAAAAACGGGGTTTTAGAATAGTGTCTTTATAGCAGACTTCTCGTTGTTTCAGGACTCGCAAGTGGACTCCACTGTAATACAGTCTGTGCCGGCACGTTTCGGACTCAAGCACGCTAAACGGCTCTTACCGAATTTTTGCGATATAATATAAATTACATGCCTTTAGCACGGTAACTTTGGCTTCAGGCACGCTTCATTTACAAGACAGTCAATATTTTCATGATGACCCATCGAAGTTCAAACACAGTCTACACCGCAACAGTGGAGAGTGTCAAGAGAAACACAAAGAACGCAAGTGATGGACACACACACTCACACGGGCGGAGAGGAAGGCAGAGAGATGCACACAGCCGCGCGCGCGGACATAGGATCTAGCCTAGGCCTAGGACAAACCTACACACGACCAAAAAAAAAATTAAAAATACAAAGAGAGTCGGGGAGACGAGAAAGGGAGGCTGGCTGCGATTTCACCTTTGACCCTCGCTATCCATTAGTCCTGATTGTGTATCACGCGCGAGGTGGGATGAAGGCGGTGGTATGATGAGTGGCACAGCGGGCAGTGGTTGGTACGCACAGGCAGTGTGTAGGCCTAGTGTGCTGTACTGCTGTATCGTGACTGGTCGTCTAAATTAAGCTTTCATTTCCCATTCGACCACAAAACAAAAGCTACCATGGCGGGTGTCTAAACTACAGTGCACACTTTTGCGGGGCCGCTATCTATAGGCCTACTTATAAAATAAGGGAAATAGCATGGGACATTTTTTACATGAAAATCTGGATTATGTCTACTTCGCACTCAAGCACGCTTTGGCTTTAATTCATGAAGCTTTCTCCCGACGACCGTGCTTAAAAGCTGGCATGGACTGTACTGTAGGCCTACTATACTAACTACTACAATCTACAGTTTACGTTTCTGCTGTGCGTGTCCACCAACGTGTGATTAGCTCTGATGACGCTGTGTCTTGTCTCAGTAGCAGGCTATACTAAAATCTGATAAATATAGAGTATTTAAGAGGCCAATGAATGCATCAGCTCTACCCAGGTACGGGGAAATAATCATGAATGGTTTGTTTTTTTGGGTTTAAATTTTTTTTCTTCTTAAAATTGGTAACATGCATACCACCACCATGATGTTTGCCAGTTGACTGCTAATTTTTAGGCGCTGAATACAACTAGATCTGAATACAACTAGATTTACAACAAATTATCGTAGTTGTGGCTATGGCAATAGATTTTTCATCCATAATTTGAATTTTGTTGAACCAAATTGTTTTGAGCTCTTCTTTGGTCTATTCTGTATCTCCATCTGTTCACGTGGTTTTTTAATTATGCACCCCGCATAATTAAGCAAAATTTGATTCTTTTTTTTGCATAATTTTTGATTATTTTCCTTTATCATTCTTTGTTAAAATGAACAGAATCGCGTAATTTCACACTTTTGGGCACAGTTTGCATAATTTCAGAATTTTTCTTGCATAAAACGACGGGGACAATTCTATAGATGCCTGATGAGTCACTAAACGGAGCAACAGAAATGCTGCATGTGGCATTCCAACCGACCTGTCTGTTTGTCGGGAAGGGTCATGTCATTTTGCTGGACATGTTCATAGAAGTAGGCTACAAAATGGAATTTTACAGACAGAATTTATGAATTATGAGGCAAATGTAATGTATGAAACCGATGCGCTATTTCAACTACTCGTAGGTCCCCTACTGGTTTCCGGAGAGACTGACGACTTATGGTTGGTTGCTTTCTGGTTTGGTGGAGGACACGCGGTCATTTTTGTTGCGTCCAGTTGGCGGACATCCTGCCACGCCTGTGGCCCGCAGACGATGAAATTTTAAGCTGTATTTAAAATGTGTTCTATTGTAAAAGTGTTTTCAAATTCGGAACCAGTGTATCAAAATTGACCAAATGACTTGCGGGTGACTAGGCCTACATGTATTTCAAGCTGGATTTTGTAGATCACATAAAAAGTAAAATTTACCAAGACTGCATCGTTTTTGTATTGAAGTAAAAAAATATCAAGAGAATGTGTAACAATGACATTATTCCTTTATAATTTATAAGATTCTTATTATACAGTGGAATCCTGTTATAACGAGTGGCGTTGGTAGCCTAGTGGTAAGGCTACCGGACTCGAAATCGTGAGATTGTGGGTTCGGGGGTTCGAGCCTCACATTGTCCGACGTTGTGTCCTTGGGAAAGGCACTTTATACGAACTTCCCACTTGGCTCGGTCCTATCGGAGACGGACGTTAAATTAGGAGGTCCTGCCTCTTAAATACTCTTAATAGTGTTGATAGGGCGTTAAACTCATACCATTTCACCATTTTCATTTGTTATAACGAGAGGTGTGGGACCGGAGCGAAATGTCCATAATAGCAGGATTCTGGTTATATATAATAATGGATCCAGTAATAAATTCAAGGGAAATAATCAAGTAGGCCCTATGAGTTTAGTGTTCTTTTTTATCTCCCCTGATGATGAGTTAGTTCAACATTACTTCAAGCCTCAAGGTCTTACTCTTAGTCTTAGTCTTACTTGATCGAACTGCTTGTTTTTTTAGTGGAAGGTCGTTCCACAGTTTTATTCATCCCATGAAACTATTGAAACTACAAAACATAAAAATGCAGTTTATTCAAACACACCCTCAACGAAAGTAAAAAAAGACCTTTAACTTTAACTTTAACTTTAACAATAAAAACAATCTAACTATTCTAACACTAACATTGAAATTGAAGACAAATTCAACACATTCTCCATTCATTAGGCAGTACAGTTACAATGAAGACCTGGATCTTAGGCAAATACACAATATGGGGAATGGTTGCAATGCAGTTTAGATCTACTCAGATTGTCTACTCTATACACTGCGTTTGAAGAAGGACTCAATTGTTGTTTGTTTCTTTGCACTGGTGGCAACGTCATTGATAAAATTCTCCACGACGTCGATGAGATCTAGCACTGACATGCTGTTTTCTTGCTGCATGCAGAACTGGCGAACCACTTCAAATGCCGCAGTGCTGCTTTGGGGGGGAATGATGGAGACTTCCTCGGTTGTGTCTTCTTCTTCTACTGTTCTTGAACTCTCTTCTGTGATACACTGTGCGATGTCACTTGTAGGCAGCTTCTCTTTGGAGTAAAACTCTCATCCACGGACAGACATTCGTCAGCAGTCATGCTCAGAGGCATGATGTCTCTCAAACTGTCAAAGAGGTTATCGATGTCGGTGCGATCGTTGACAGGCACAATTTCATGTGCGGCTGATGATCGCTCACTGTCCAACTCAGCGGCAGGAGTTGGAGTAACTGTAGTGATAATAACGAATCCAGCGTGGCGGAAGCATTTTGCCACTGTCTCCTCTTTCACATCGTTCCGTGCGGCAGCAGAGGTGAACATTGCATCCAACAAACTCATTTTCAAGTGGCTGTCAGCGCTCCCGTCCTTGTCCATGGTAGCTATGAGTCGTTTTAGCACTCTCTTTCTGTTGAGTACTTTGAAAGATTGTATAATTCCCTGGTCGTACGGTTATAGTACGCTTGTTGTGTTCGGCGGCAGAAAAAAACAGTTGGATGGCCTTTAAATCAGTCAGATGTGGGTGAGCAGAGCAGTTGTCCACGATGAGTGCGACACTTCTTCCTTGCAAAATGAACTTTCTGTCAAGTTTTTGCACCCACTGCTCGAAGATCGTGCCTGTCATCCTCGTCTTTCTGTTGAATTTGTACTCTGTTGGCAGAGTTTTGGTGTGTTTAAAACACCGCGGCTTCTCGAACCTTCCGATAGTGAGAAGAGGTAACGTCTCCGTGCCATCCGTGTTGGCGGCCAGTAACAGTGTGAGTCGCTCCTTTGGAATCTTGTTCTCGCTGCACACTTCTCCCTGTCTCGCGAGCGTGCGGGTTGGCAGGCATTTGTAGAACAGCCCAATTTCATCCGCGCTGAAGATGTCACTAGGCTGATATTTTCCGAGGATTTCTTGCAGCTGACCCTTCCTCCAGTTGTCAGAAGTTTCGGTCGACACCGATGCTGATTCGCCGCAGACAACTTTCATTGAAACTGCATGTCTCGCCTTTGGACGAGAGAGGGCTGCGGTGTGCAGGCCAACAACATACTTGTGGCAAGGGAGACTACCCATGAATAAATACTGCTGTATTAGTCCACAAATGCTTACCTCCCTTTCATTTCTGTTATAGCAGGACTTTTCCCCTGCTCCCACCATCCCTGTTATATCACGTTTCTACTGTAATATAACAGGCCGGGTAATAACAGGGATCCGGTAATAACAGGGATTTTGTAAATCCCTGTTTTTTTTCATACTCCTTGTCTCTATTGAAATTAAAAATTACGGAGCGGGTGAAGCGAAAGAGGGCTGCGGTATGCTGCAGACTTCAATCTAGCCCTTAGCCTAGCTACACGCACGTGCAGGCCTGCCACATGACCAAAACCCCTGAGTCGATTTTTGATCAAGTAAAAAGAGACCGTGGGGTCATGTTGAACAAAATCATCATCAGGGGAGACAACAAAAAAAGAACTCCGAACTCGAAGATTAGGCCTGCTTATTATTTCCCTTGGATTTATTTCTGGATCCCTTAATAAATATAATATATATAAATAAAATAATTATAAACGAGAACCCTGCTATACTTATAAACCATAACGTTCGCACCAGTCCTCTCCCTCTCGTTATAATTATTATAATAAAATAAAATGTAAAAACAAAAAAGTGACAGAACGACGTCCCCGATGTTTCCACATATTTCCACCCATGGGGTGGCCCCACCCACCGGTGCAATTAAATTTGCAGGTGGTTGGTGGAGGGCACTATAGCCGCTACTGGTAGTGGTACGGTAGGTCTTATTCCTAGTCCTACATGTTATGCACTTCTTTACTTTCCACTGTTGTTTCTGTCTTATTATTTTCCCCAATGCGCAAATTGACCAATGTTGTGTTTATATACGTGCTTTTCTTTTTCTTAAAATTAAAAAAAAATAAATTTAAATAGTGTTTTACTGCACGAAGCTAGCTGCATAAGGTCATCATAGATTATAAAGATATCTTTATAAGATCTATTTAAATTATAATTATATTATATGACCCACCATACATTTTCAGTGGGTAGAAATTTTTGAATTATAATTTATATTGATCGGGTGGCCGCGGAAGCCTACTCTCGATTTTGGACTTGGACCACCAAGGGATCTCTATGACTAGTGTAACGTGGGCAACTTGCCCACGGGACCTACGAGATTTTTCGCCCTTGTCCGAGAAGGCTAGTTCTGTTGGTCTCTATACATCCTACTTACCTTCCATAAAATCAGGGGTGTGGCTGAAAGGCTGTAGTTAGTAAGAAGGAGCCAAGAAGCAGTAGAAAGGCTGCAGAAAGAGTCAGGAACCCAGAGGAGGGGGCAAAGGAGGCCTGTACTGTGAGGGGCTGGGGCAGAAAACAGAGACGAAAGCAGACGACAGAACATTGTTCAGGAAAGGATGGGAAAAGAGAACGATTAAAAAATATATTATTTACAGAAAAGGAAATGTTCCGTCGCTTTCCGGATTCGAACCCGTGACCTATTGGATGAGAGGCGAACACCTTAACCTCTGGGCCACGAGAGCCTCCAGGCTTCTCTTTGCATAAACTCAGAATATATATATTATAATTTTAAAAACTTAAGACTTAAATCTCAAATACAGTGGAAACCATGTGAATGTGATTGTATTGTGAGGCAGCGTAGTGGAATCAGGCTCTCGTCAATTTTGGGTCATGTAGAGTTATTGGTATCACCTGGAAGCTTGTTCACTTGTTTTTATTTTGATGAAAAAAATTTCCACTTATCTTGAATAGGGTCTACAAGTCGAGATATTTGCGAATGAAGGAGGTGGGGGTCACCTGTTTTCAGAGGTAAAATTAGTGAGAAAATGGCAGCCAAAGATTAGTTATTTCCTTTAAATTTTATTTAACTTAAATCAACGTTTTTCAGAAAAATCCACTGAGTAATTAGTTTTTTAATGGGTATGAAAAGTGTTGAGCCAAAAAACAAAAATTCATAAACCTGAGGAAAAATGCAAGTGTCTTCTTCACTTTGATTTTGATTATTTTGACGAGAGCCTGATTCCACCATGCTGCCTCACATAACTATAACAGGCCCGGTAATAACAGGGATCCGGTAATAACGGATTTTTTAATTCCCCGTTTTTTTCCTACTCTTTGTTTCTATTAAAAGTTATCGGCAATAACCGTAACAGGGCCTCTTTGGAGCCCAACCGGTTATAGTTATTATAGCAGGGACAAAGACTTGTTAACAATGTGAAAAGAGAGAGAGTAACGCAGTGATGGAGCAAGCCCACGCAAGCCACGCCACTGCATGACTGCATGCAAGAACACGCAGCGCGTGAAGCGAGAGAGGGCTGCGGTGTGCTGCAGACCTCGATCTAGCCAGAAACCTCGCAACACGCACGCGTAATGTGTCACCGACGATGTCAAGCGCAAGATAAAATGCCTTTCAATTGACAAAAAATACGAAATAATCCAGGTTGTTGACGAAAAGCAAGCTCCACTGGCAGAGATTTGTCGTCAGTTCGACTTTCCACAATGGTCGATTCACACCATTAACAAGGATAGAGAGAAAAAAGTGGCAGCATATCATATATATCTGTCTCCGTAGAATTATGCAAATTTAGAAGGCCAAATTATGCACAAAGAAGGCAAAATTATGCCCAAAAAAATTACGCAAGTTACCGTAACACCATTCGCGACATGTTTTGCACTTTTTCAACACGAAGTTTCATGTTTTATGTACAGAAAAATTGAAAACAGAACATATCAGTATCAGTAATTTGTTGCGTATTTGGAAAAGAAAACAATACACATTAGTAAAAAAAAAACAACCAAAAATAATCTCTTTGACTTTCAGTCAGCTCTAGATCTAGATCTAGATCTAGATCTGTAGAGGAAAGATTGATGTTTAGCTAACAAACAAATGTAGTACTAGGAATCAAAGCGGCAATTAATTAAAAGAGTGAAAATAAAAACACGAGGTCCTCCCTAACCAACCCAAAGATCCTATAATTATACACCGCCTCAATTACTGTGCCCTTGACAACATGTGTCTTCAGCGTGCGATAGCTTAATTGATTGTGCACGTCCACTTTTAGCCCCACGAGCCGCCCCTGGTGACTACCCGATGCAGATACTATACTGTGGACCAAGCTCTTCTGATTTGGTTTAAGGAGGCAAGGAGAAAGTTGGTGCCAAAACCCCTGTTCGTGGGTACTTGTGGCAAGGGAAACTACCCATGAATAAGTACAGCTGGATTAGTCCACAAATGCTTACTTTCCTTGCATTTCTGATTTAACAGGGATCGGATATAACAGGACATTTTGTCTACTACCACCATCCCTGTTATATCAGGTTTCCACTGTATTGTATCTAAGTGTGGTGACTGGCGGGATTTCTGGTGTGGTTTGCTGCTCCTTCGGTTTTTCAATCAAAATCAAAACTAAACTTGATGTACTTAACTATGATCTACGTACATATTTTACCAGTAGGCCTACATTGGGTAGATCTTTCTTACCTCTCATAAATATATGTAATGTAATTTGGATCTCTCTCTCTCTCTCTCTCTCTCTCTCTCTCTCTCTCTCTCACACACACACACACACACACACACACACACACATACGCACGCTTACTTACACCTTCTTTCTCACTTTCTGGCCGTCTGCATCACTCGGGGCTCACATGGGTGGGGTCGTGTAATTGTAAGTCCGGGTAGCATAAGTAGTGCTACAATGTAGTGTAATATATACACCCTGTTATATAACGAGAGGGAGGGGAACGGTGCAAAAGATCCGCTATGGCAGGATTCTCGTTAAAAGTGATCCAGTAATACATTCAAATTCATGAGAAATAGGACTGTAGGCCGAATATATGAGTCTGGTTTTCTGTTCGTTTCGTTTTGTAATCTCCCCTGATGATGATTTGGTTCAACATGATCTCTAGGTCTTAATTGATCAAAAATCGGATAAGGTTTCTTTCTCTAGCGCTAGCGATGTTGACAGCTCGACGTCAGCGATCAGAAATAAAGTTCTCTAGGCTAACTCGCCCGCTGTGTTGTCCCCCACCCCACTACACCCGATTGTGCGTTCCATCTGCTTGCGCACGTCATACATTCGCTCCATCCGTCACAGCACTATGGCCTCTCCATCCCCGCATCGGGGAAGTGAAAGGCATGCGAGGCCTAGATAATCTAGACTAGGCTGGCGTACTATTACGCGATGCGTTCTGCTTGTCTGTGCATATCACTTCCTCCCCTCTCATTCGCTCCGCCTTCATTGTTGGCACACGTGGGTTCTCCTACTCCTATTCTTTGTTTCGCAAGATCACCAACAACTGGCGAGGTTTTGCATGAATAAATGGCCTATGCGCTGTGCACAGCAGCAGCAATAGTCCGCTATAACTATAACTATACTATAACCGACTCGCATGTTTGTCTGATTGCGCTATAGCAGTATTTTATACAAAGATAAAGTAAGGCAAAAAACGAGGTTTTATCATAATGTCTTTATAACAGACTTCTCGTTATTTCAGGACTCGTTATAAGTGGATTCCACTGTTTATCTTGATATAGGTCTAGATCTACAGGAAAACTCGGATTCAACAAAAAGAGATGGTTTCCCTGTTGTTGTTTTTGGGTTGTTGTTTTTTGTTTTGTTTCATTGTTGGTTTTCTTTTTTTTTTTTTTATTCCTTAAAATCAACAGATCTGATCTGTCTAAAAATAACCCGGATTCAACTAACACATAAATGAGCAAGCTCGGATTGAACGAAGTCGCTCACACACAGGGTACTGTTTCTTTCTTCATTTTTCTCCCGCAACAAACCTTTTCTCTCTATGAGTCTATGGAAACATCCATGGCACCTACATCACGAACAAAGAACTCTACTACGCTTTACAAGAGCCCTGGTTACACGCGACAATAAATTGTGTCAGATTCGTCGTACATGTACATTGTATGCGAGAACTGTCTGTTTTATCGTACTGTGTAGTCTGTTTTGACGTTTCAATCTATCGTCCAGTTTTCCTTCTATCAGGGATTAGAGTACCGGTAGCCTCAGCCCGGTCCGACGTTGTGTCCTTGG